TCATTTCAATTTCTACAGATTCTCATTCGCGTCGGTTCGGCTCGTGGATCCGCCAGATAGATATATACGTACATATAGAGAGATACAGAAACCGAAAGCGATACCCATACTGATTCCGAGTTTAGATGCAGATTGAGATACCCAGTGGTTTCTGAGTGCAACAAAATGAAAGCCGGCCAAAGACTGCGCATGCGTCGGCAGCGCCCCAACTTGAGTTTTTCGCGAGTGCATCCCGCAGATACGGCCAGCTACTAGTGGCCAATGCAGCCAAGAAAGCCCCGACTCAACTCGACTATTAGCCAACTGACCAAAAAGCATCTCGTCTAGCTCTCCAGCACAGCACTCGGTTCCCGAAAAAACATTAATACGTCTGCCGCTGGGCTGCCCGATAAACAGAACAAAAACAGGGAACATATTAAGCCGGCTGTGCAGACTGGTATGGACCGCTACATCCAAAATCAAAAGTAAGCTAAGCCCCCTAAAATCTAAATGCAAAATAACCCGTGGCAATGCTAGCCTAGCTGCAATAGAAACGCCCACGAACTCAAACCGATTTAGAATGCTGGCAGACGCTTATGAGGTTGAGGCGGCCGAATCTACTATTTATATAAGAGAAAAAAGTTCCAATGTTCTCATCAACAAAATTATTGAGCTTATTGGCAAGAATAACTTCCACATAATACCCCTTGTAAAGGGCAACATTAAGGAAAGAAAAGTTCAAATGAAGTCTGAAGATAATTACAGAGTATTATCGAAATATCTTACCGAGAATAAAAAGAACTTTTACACGTATCAGCTAAAAGCAGCAAGGGCATGCAAGTCGTACTTAATAGCATAGATTCCGAAGTAACGCCTGCAGAGATAACAAAGGCGCTACAAGAGAAGGGATTTAGCGCTAAGACAGTTTTTAATATCCTTAACAGGGACAGAAAGCCGCAGCCACTCTTTAAGGTTGAGCTCGAACTAAAAAACAAGCCCCTGAAGAAATACGAAGTACACCCTATATACAATTTTCAGTTCCTGAGGAACCGCACAAACGCAATGGTCCGGTACAATATGCGAGCTGCCAAGAATATGCCCATACAAGGTCATACTCTAAACTGCGCCGGTGTGTGTACCTTGTGGAGAGCTTCATGACACTGCCCAACGAGCAAAGATGACTGCAACTCGAACAAGGAAGAACGCTATAGTCAAATACCTCGACTATCAGATACCCGTTACTCAGCTAAAGGGACCGAAGGAAAATGGAGATATGCAAGCAGCAAAGCGAGATTAAAATGCGCCACCTACCGGCGGTAGACAAATTTAAGCGTTATGGGCTTTAGAGAGGGCGTTTTTTTTTTTATCAATCGATAGGTATTGACGAGACCAATACATTTCAGTTTAAGTTTTTCATTTAGCATGGAAATTGTGGGCGTCACAGGTTTGGGCGGTTTGTGGGCGTTAAAATAGGCGTGGCAAAATTTTTTTGGGTCAATCGATGTATTGATGAGAACAATATATTTCAGTTAAAATTTTTATTCTAGCATCAAAACTGTAGGAGTCACCGTTTTGGGCGGTTTGTGGGCGTTAGAGTGGGCGTGGCACATTGCTGAAACAAACTTGCCCTGAGTAAGAAGCTCAGGAATCTGCACGCCATATCTCAATAGCCTAGCTCTTACAGTTTCCGAGATCTCAGCGTTCATCCGGACAGACGGACATGGCTAGGTCGACTCGGCTAGTGATCCTGATCGAGAATATATATACTTTATGGAATCGGAAACGCTTCCCTCTGCCTGTTACATACTTTCCGACGAATTTAGTATACCCTTTTACTCTACGAGTAACGGGTATAAAAAATGCGGCAACTGTAGTGGTAATCACACTGGTAACTATTAATAAGGAACTGAAAAGCCGCATTACCGAAAGAAACCGTGATGCCGCGCAGCGATGCAGACCGAGCCATTACGTTTGCCAACCACCTTAAAAAAGTCTTCCAAACAAATCCTGCCACTAGTTCGTTTACTTTGCCGACTTTACCATATGAGCCTCAGCTTCAACATTAGCCAATTGAATTTCGCCCAAACGAAATCGTTTACATCATCAAAAATCAACTGAACCCGAAAATATCCCCGGGTTGCGACCACATAACTCCCAAAATGTTCGTTGAGATCCCATATTGCGCCGTTTTCATCATCACCCAGCATTTCAAAGTCATCGCAAAACTTGGCCTCTATCCAGTTAGATGGAAAAAGTCAAATTAAATAATGATTGCGAAGCCGGGAAAAGACCACACAATCCCCACGTCGTAAAGACCGAACTAAACTCTTTAAAAAATGCGTATTGACTCGGATAAACACATACCATTAAAGAATCCAGTCACATCAAAAACGAGAGTACTGTACAGCTATATTTTTAGATGTCTCTCAAGCATTTGATAGGGTCTGGCTAGAAGGTCTAATGTACAAGATAAAGACAATGGTGCTCTACAATACCCACAAGCTTGAAGAGTCTTACCTTTACGACAGAAAATTTGTTGTGAGGTGCAACACTGCTATATCTGATGTCTTCACTGTTGGAGCTGGAGTTCCTCAAGGTAGCGTGCTAGGGCCAACATTATATGCCCTCTACACAGCAGACATCCCGACAAGCACACGACTAACAAAATCTACGTTTGCTGATGATACAGCTATTCTTAGCCGCTCAAAATACCCGATGCAAGCAACTGCGCAGCCAGCTCTTCATCTGGTCGATGCTGAAAAATGGCTATCAGCTTGGCGAACTAAAGTGAACAAACAAAAATGCAAGCACGTTACGTTCACCATGAACAGGCAAAACTGCCCGCCGCTTACGTTAAACAACACTCTACTCCCGCAACAAACGAAGTTACATATCTAGGAGTACACCTCGACAGAAGACTCACATGGCGCCGGCACATTGAAGCCTTAAGAACACACCTAAAGCTAAAAGCCAGCAGCCTTCATTGGCTTATCAACTCTCCTTAGCATTGAATATAAAGTCCTCCTGTAAAACTCGGTACTAAAACCTATATGGATGTACGGCTCCCAGTTATGGGGGAACGCCAGCAATAGCAATATTGACATAGTCCAGCGAGTTCAGCCGAAGATCTTGAAAACAATCTCCGGGCACTTTGGTACGTTCGCAACGAAAACATACATCGCGACATAAACATTCTTCAAAGAAGTGATCGCAGAACAGAAAGAAAAGTACTTTACCAAGCTATTGTTGCACCCTAACCACCTGGCGAGAGGTCTAATAAGGTTGAGCAACCAATCACGTCTCCGTCGCAATGACTTAGTATACTGTTAGTTAAATTTTAATGTTAAGATTCGTAAGTTTATTGTTAGTCTCAAAATTAAGAGAAAATTCAATAAATAAAAGCAAAGTTAAAAAAAAAAAAATTTCTTCAGTTCAAAGTTTACTTTTGCCGAAGTATAACTTTCTAATAGAATGCTGCGATGAGGTAGCAGTGACAATCCAACTTCATTCGGGTAAGATAAGTCCGATTCATCTTTTACATACATGTAATGCAGTATTCTTCCCTTAAATCCCTCAGAAATTTTGTTGACTCTTCCGTCAAGGGGTTAAATTTCATTTCGCTTATGCAACTCCGAACGGACATGATTTGCCCACTTATTCTTTTGCAATAAATACTTGCAGTATTGACAAAACTGATTTTGGTGATTCATTGTATTTTATTCATTTTATTCTAGATATTTTTCTTCTCGATTACTTTTTCACTTTTACCTAAGTTTTGTTTGACGTAGCAGAGTATCCCACTTCAATACTATTATTGGTAGACTAACTATTGTCTTCGATCATTTATAGTGTTTGAACTGAGCGTGTACGATAATATTGAAGATGAGAGGTGCATATTTAACATTTTTGTTAATTCGAAAACAATATAGGTAATACTAGTAGGTTACATCGACAATTCATTGGTTAGAAGAGATGAGAAGTATTGATTTTGTAAAATATTTGATACAAGGTAACCAATAGGACCATCAAATCGATAAGGGAGACATAAAATCATAGAATAAAGGAGAGTGTTGGTTAGGAGGGTTTGACTTTGGGAAGAATCAAAGATTTTCCTTTGATTAACTGCCACAATGAACATCTTGAAGTAAAAGAAGAAGATTAAAACCTATAAAAAATTTCATTATAAACGTTCTAAGCATATTTAAAAGTCTAAGACGAGATTGTTGACTTAGATAGACATCATGAATTCAGGTAAAATAGGCTTTTACATGTGTCATTTTTATTGCGGTCAGGTAATGGACAGGTGCGCATGTTCGGGTAGCTCTTGCTTGAATCGCTTTTATGACATGTTTATGACCCATTTGTGGAAAGGAGAGAATCTTAAACAATTTACCACTTAAACTTTCTGAGGCGGAAACAAAAATGTGTGTTTGAAAATATTAATACATAATATTAATCATTAACTTGTGAGATTTATTTTATTGGGATTCTTTTGATTTCTAAATTAGTTTAACAATCATAGAAAACATTATTCTCCAACATGATCGGACATGTTCCTCTAAGATAACCTTTCTCACGTGCATAGCAACACCTGTGATAATGAGGCAAAAGCGTACGTAATCACACCTTTCCCCACCATGGTCGAATATGTTCCTCTATCCTTTGGATACTCTGGGTGTGCGACCTTTCTCACGTGCATGGTCATAATGAGGGGAAGGATACATGATCAATATTGTCACATGGGCATTTAGGGGCGATAAATACTATGGGTGTGAGACCTTTCGCACGTGCACCTTTCTAACGTGACTATTAATTGCTCATAATAAGGGGAAGGATACCTGATCAATATTGTCACATGGGATTTGGGGGCTATGGGGGCAATTAAGTATACTCTTTGTGGACATGATCGTGACATTTTAATGACTTCAAAGCCCATTAAAATCAGTTCATTTATGGATTATGCTAGTTGTCCGAGAACCCTTGTACGTTAATGAGGGGGAGGGGGGTCGGGGGCCATTAATATGGTAACTGTCCCAGAACCCATCTTTTCGTACTACGTGCATGTTCAAACAAATACAAATTGATTACATATTACATATGTTAGAATCAAAAAATACCATTTTTAGGAATGTCTTGCAGAAATTGTAAAATTTTTAAATTAAAAGATACGAGTTCAACAAATTATTTGCACCTCTACCTTTATGGTGGTTTGGATGTAAGGAATGTTTTGTGAAATTTCCACAGGCGAAGTTTCGGGCGATCTGGCTAGTAATAAATTAAAGATATCTACGCACTAAAGAATTTGGTAACATTGATTGCCCCAGTCAAAATTACCTCATACTTATAATTTACTTAAATTTGACATCTCGTTCTTAGGTAACAACTGGAGAACAACCTACAAGTATAACCTTAATTGACGGCTTGGTTGACGAAACCCGTTTCATCGAAAATCCGGAAGTCATAAAAGAAAGCTTAAGTTCACGAAATGACGATTTAGTGCACACGAAAAACAAATTGGAGGTTGAATCTCTGAGTCACTATTTACTTTCCATTGTTTATATGCCGCTATCTTTGAGAATGATATGCGTGACAAATCTTTTTTGCTGGATGGCGCATGTCTGTTACTCGCTATATTTTACGGATTTTGTGGGCGAGGCAGTTTTTAATGGAGACCCCAGGGCTACCACCGGAACTGACCTTCAACTACGTTATGAAGAAGGTGTGCGATTTGGATGTTGGGGCATGGCAATGTACTCTCTATCATGCTCCTTTTACTCACTTATTATTGAAAAACTAATTCAACGTTTTAAGTATGTGCTTCAATTCAATACATTAGAAAGTTACAGTACAAATCTTTACATTCTATTTTAAGGGCTAAGTCTGTGTACGTTGGAGGACTAATATTTTATTGCACAGGAATGGCCTTAATGGCTTTAACTAGAGCAAAGCTAAGCGTTTTAGTATTCAGTTGGACAGCGGGTATTATGTACTCTACGCTATTTACTATGCCCTATCTTCTGGTTGCTCATTATCATAATGTTTCTACAGTAAGTATTACGGACTTCACTGAACAATTTAATGTATGTTTGAATGGCTTGCATAAGCATCGCCCAGCTCATTATATAAAAATTAACTGATTTTAACGGTTAAAATGTTATTGCAATTTTATCATTGTTCGTGTTCTCTGCGTGTCTCACATGTATTGATTTTCATTTTAACTCGAGCACGTTCAAAAAGTTTTCATTGTAAAAGCTTTAGACATAAATAGTAATTTACAGAACAATCTGTTTTCAGAGCTTTACACCTGCTTACACTATTTGAAAAGAAATGTTCTCTAGAATTCATCATCTTCTTCTAGCCCGAGTTGAATGTAATTTTAATTCGACAAATATATATCATTAATTTTTTTATAAAACAACGAGTAACATATATTCTATATATGAAATATGAAAAATATTTGTACACTAGGCTTACTTATAAAAATAAAGCCACAGAAAGGGATGACAGTCATAGCTGCTGTGTCTTATCAAAAATATTATTTATGTTTTGTAGATCGTTTACTTAGTGTAGTACAACAAAAGTGAAAACACTTAATAAAAACCAAAATACATAACCAAAATCACTTTTATCAATCCTTTCCGTGTTTCTTGGCAAAGAACAGGCGGGCAAACCATGCTCGCTTAGTGATGCATAGAAAAAATGTAATTTAACCCTTTGACTAACGAGTCAAGAAAATTTCTGAAGGGGTCAAGGCAAGGGGTTAAGGAAACTTAATTTCGTGTATGTAAATGATGGATCGCACTTGATTTTACCTGAACTGAAAAATCGAAAACGAAATGCAAAATCAAAGTAAATAACTGGATATTTAATTTAAAGTTTCGTATTCCATATTTGAGCTAAATACAAAAACGTAACTTTTAATAAAAATAAATATATTATTGCTTAATTAATTTTGAAAATGTTTAAATCAAGTCAGAAATTATGAGATATGAAATGTATTAGTCTCGTCAATACCTATTGATTAACCCAAAAAAAAATTTGTTACGCCCACTCTAACGCCCATAACGCTTAAATTCGTCTGCCGCCCACAAAACCATATAATCTCGCTTTGCTGCTTGCATATCTCCATCTCCCATTGGTCCCTTTAGCTGTGTAACGGGTATCTGTTTTTCATCTTTTACGTGCTTAGCTTAGTTCAATTACGGAAATATTAAACGTAATAATGATATTTAAAACATTTATTTGTTGACAGAAAATTTGTAAAGTAAATGCGAATCATTAAAAAATATTTTGTGAGTTGATTTAAATACTTTAAAATTAAATTATTCAGTTTAATATGATATGTGTAAAAAACTACATTTTTGTATTTAATTTAAATATGTAATTAGAATCTTAAATTCAATATGCCGATATTTATTTACATTTGCCCATCGTTTTGTCAGTGTGAGTAGTTCTTGAGTGATGCCGTGTGAGAACGAATACAACATAGGGCCTATAGGGCCAACTTAGGGTTGTTAAGTTACTCTTTAAGATTAAGCCCAAAACAGACCAACGAATTCCCTAACGGAATAGTGTAATTTACCTTTAACTTCCTAACGGGATACTGTAATATACCGTTTGCTCCCTAACGTGATACCCTTAATCAAAAAAGTCAAGTACCATATAAATATAAAATATAAATAAATTTGAAATAAATTAACTTCCGCTTAAACACGGATAACCCGGAACAATACCAATCGAAAAATCGGACACTCATTTGGTCTTAAAAATGCCTCTAGCATGTTTCAAAGGGCAATTGATAAGAGAAAATCGGATAAATGTGGTATTTTGACGAAGTTATTTCTTTCTTTGAATCTTAAGAGGACCACGTTGCGAATGTGGATTGGGTTATAGCTATGCGATGCTGACATTCGAGTATAGCAGGACAACTTGTATTTTTTTAGGGACTGCGTAGAATACCTAGGATTCGTTGTGTTTCGAGGCGGATTTGGGACGTCACCTGAAAAGGTAAAAGCAGCTTTAGACTTTCAAAAACCGAAAACTTTGCTTAGTCCTAGATCCTTTCTCGGCTTAGGTAGTTATTATAGATGCTTTATAAAGGGTTTCGAAACTATAGCACGCCCTAACTAAAATCCTAAAAGGAAAGGTTGGCGTGAATCAGTCAAAGAAAATTCCGTTAAATCTAAGAAAAACCAGTTTTGGGCCTTTCATAGGTTAAAAAACAACTTAGCATCAGAAGATGAAGTGTTAATTTATCCTGATTTTTTTAGGCCGTTTAAACTAATAATAGATCCTTCACAACATGGTCTCGTGGCTGTACTGCCTCAAAGCAAGCGACCCATTACCATGATTTTTAGAATAGTCCGTAAGGATAAAGAGCATTGGGTGCAAACGTGAAATAACAGTTAGCTATACTATGGCCTGTAAAGAACATACGTAACTACCTAAACAACTTAATTAATTTTACAGACCAAATGCAAAGAACTCAAGGCAAGCAAACGCTCTGTCGCGACAAAATGTAATCAACCTGATAAAGCGCGATTAATATATTGCCACGATTAATAGAGAGGAATCACTTATGTGTACCATAGAAACGAAAGACCGGCCCATTATCAGCTTCAGAAATCAAAAAGTAATTGAGGAAGCTGAATATCCATCAGTAAGGACTATTGTGCTACAGTTTTCAAACAGGGAACAAGAGGGAAAATAAGGTATTGCGACGATGGGAACTTATCAATGGTTTTTTGCTACTCCAAATACTTTGTTATCAACGTATTGGATAAGACAGAATAGAAAGAGATGACCATTTCGCAGAGCACACCAAGCAGCGCAAGAGAATGTGAAGCAGGTGATTGCGAACTATTTCTTTACAAAGATGACGAAAATTCTTGATGAAGTTGTGGCCAACTGCAAAGTCCGTTCAAAACAAAAATATAGCTGGCATTCAGTAAAACACTTAATGGGTAGAACACCTATCCCGTGCTATGCTGACCAGATTCCGCACGTCGATCATTTTCCCACCGACGACTAATTTTTTTTGACGGTAATTGACAAATCTTTAAAGTTTGCAGTAGCTTAAACCCATTAGACCACTGCCAATCGTGGACGTGAAAATTGAACTTCTCCAGCTTATAAATTCTATCCCCAGGATAGAGAAAATGTACGGCGACAAAGAAAAACCAATAACTTCCCAGACCATTTGATCCATTTTGACGAATAATCGAACGGGCGGGTTGAGTCTTTTCATAGCACGCTAGGGGAAATAGGGCGCTGCATCAAAATTAACAGAAAACTCAGTGAAACTACTGACGCAATACTATCGAGTACAAAACAACAATCAATTCGGTGATGTGGAAAACAAGTGAAAATATTTATTGCTATACCTGTTGAGCTTGAGGTGGAAGTTAGGAAAAAGATTAACAGGGCTCAGAATAGAACCTTAGAATATGCCAATAAAGATACCGCCTGTAGGACATCTAAGGTAAGAGATAAGGTTTGAAATCGACTTAAAGACTCGGAACAAAATGTCTCCGGTGTGTACTAAAGACATGACTTGGGTGGACCTGGGGACAAAAGTCCTAACTAAGGGGAATAAGGTCCGCAACGACAATGTAAGATAAGAATACAAATTAAGGTTTATTGTTTTTTAAGAAAACGACCGTAGATCATCAACGACGCTACTGTCGCCGTCAAGACTGCTGATGGAAACAATCTACTCAACTCCGGGACCTACCTCTTGACCTTCACCGACCGTGTTTCTATCAAGGTGTACTAAGAAAGAATCACGGTAGCATCCATCACCCTGGCTTGCTTTGGGATCATCTGGTATATCCGACGACGATGCGTTAATGGAAACCGAGCTGTGGGTAACTCCATCCCTGGTCGAGAAATTGACGTGCAAAGCGCTGAGGACGACCCTCACTTTTCGGTGGAAGGAGTTAGAATGCGGCCGTCAGCCAAAGCTTGTTGGTGAACAGGTAACGGTATTCAATAACGACGCCTGTGAGTAGAGTGACCGCCGCCGTCTAAGAGAAGCGCTGAAGCGGTGTTCTGCTGGGAACGCTGCTATAAAAGATAGGGGTCCTGTAGAGCCCCATATGGTTAAGTTAGTAAAATAAAATAATAATAAACAAGGAATAAATTAACTTACACACCAATGTCTGGTTCATCTTACATACCGTTATCACCATTCCTAGCAAGTAAAAAAGCATATTTAAATGCGTGAAATAAAAATGTTGTATAAATGTGGCTCGACTACCAGATACTCGTTACTCAGCTATGGGGACCAAGGGGAGATGGAGATGTGCAAGCAGCAAAGCGAGACTTTTAAACGGCACCTACCCCCTATTTCAATTGTGATTATATGGGCGGCAGACAGACTTAAGCGTTATGGGCGTTTGTGGGCGTTAGACTGGGCGTGGAAATATTTTTTAGGTCAGTCGATAGGTATTGACAAGCATGAAAACTGTAGATGCCACAGTTATGGGTGGGTGGCTTGTAGGCGTTGCAAACTATTTCTTAGGTCAATCGATAGGTATTGGCAGGACCAAATCATTTCAGTTAAAATTGATTTCTACCATGCAAACTGTTGGAGCTACAGCTACCTCAACCCCTAGCTGCTATAGTTTCCGAGATCACAGCGTTCACACAGACAGACGGACATGGCCAGATCGACTCGGTAAGTGATGCTGATCAAGAACAAATATACTTTATGGTGTTGGAGTCCCTTTCTTCTACTCTTTTACTCTAAGAGGAACTGGTATAAAATTCTCAATGGACGACAAAGATGCTCAGCATACAATATTGATATATCCCGGGAGATAATTTGTTTAAACGAAGAACTAAAATTGGATTTCACAGGCCCAATTTTTTTCCTAGAAACAAAATTAATTTCTTAAAAGTATATACATATAAGCTTAAACGTTTTCGAATAAAATGAAGATACAAAAGAAATAATTGGACTACTTTTTGAATCGGAAGTGGCAAAACCACTACATATAAGTGCGAACAGTGTTTGTACATTTAATATGTTTTAAGGTAAAATTGA